GCTGCAGGTTAAACGGTCCATGCGGTGAACTAACGAGGCGGAACATAATTGGCGTCACTGCAAACTCTTAATCCATCGCAATGGTTCAGCATATTTACTTATAAATGGACGTCGGAAACGGAAATTCGCCTCCTCCGCCCAAATCAAACTGGAATGCCAAAAAATCGGGGGTCTGCCCCGAGAGGCTGTATCGCCGTCTGCCGGAAGTCAGATGCCGAATACAGCCGATGGGTTCCGAGAATGTATCCTCAAATGAGGTCATTACATTTTGGGTTTGCCGCGCCTTATACTTCATTTTGGGTAACATAGACCTCATTTGTGGACACTGTTTTGTGCCATCTAGTAGTAGCAAAAGCACACTGAACTAATCATGTAGAAACAAGATGGCAGCCATCTCTGCCCAGTCAAGGTACAAGATAAAAGACCTAATAAAATTTTATGGTTTAAACTAGTTTACTTTGTTTAATAATGTTTGTGGATTGATATGGCAAATTTGACCAATTTTAGTAATTTTCAAAAGCTAAGACGCTGTTAAATAGGAAGTACTTGTTTGAAGAGAGTGGGACTTTATTATTGTATTATCAAAGCATTTCACGCAGACCCGTTACGTGTGATGGACTGTTCCTACAGACGAAAGGGACGTTTCTAGCTTGGTGTATAGGGCAAGGAAAATTCGTACAGAGTTACAAAATGATCAAATCAAAAGGCTTTTATGTACGTTGCATATTTGCAATTTTATTTTTACACAGCCACGTTCAGGCATTGAAATAAACATTTTTTGCTTTATTACAGGACATCATTTTCCCCAAAAACTATTAATGGTTCAAAGATAATGCTTAGTCTTTTATACTTATCAGGTCCTACTATTGAAATTAAAAGCTGCTAGCGTGGCTAAAAATGCAGAACATCTGATGGTTCTAATTTCTCAAATGTCCTGATTCGTTTGTTTTATACCATCACACGTTGATTATCTTTTGGCGGTTGATCAGATAAAACAAACTTTTAGGTCTGGGAAATTGTGCTGACTACCCCCACTGCGCATACCAAATAAAAGCTCAGGTCTCAGGGTATAGAAGTTTGACAGAAAATGACCCAACTTCTCACTTGATTTATCACTTCAGTAAACATTTTCCTAATGAATCTATGGTCTCAATCACTAGTTTCAAGTCTTCTTCAATACAGCATCATGTTCAATTTGTAAAGTATGATCCCAGTTAGGGTAAAATAGACGATAAAGCAGCTTATGCTTAAGGGCTTTGCTAGCTTGTGATTAACACGTCACTACCACGGTGGTGTCCTCAGGTTCTCAATCACATTCACTCCTCACTCCTTCACAGCTCCGCCCTCTTATCGAAATACGGTTACATCTGGCTTAAAAAAAAACAAAATGGCAACAGTGAAAATGCCAAACTTAAGGCTTTAAAACAGTAACCCACCAACCAAAGGGCGATGTCACAGTAGCCATGTCCACTTCTTTTGCAGTCTATGGTACGTACATTCATGGCCCCCAGATGATGAAGCCTACTGACTTTGGTGATTCCCTGACTTTCCTCAAGTGCCACCATGAGATTTGCACAACTTTTGGATGGATTGCCAACAAATCTGGACATTCAAGTTCCCCTGAATTCCACTTTTATGATCTGTTAAAATTTCATCAGGTCAAAATTTGAATCCATCCAACACTTTGCTTTATTACCAGATAGCTGCAAATGTAATTAAATTTCCATTGAGACATGCTGACTGTAGCAAGTACAGCCTCACAGAGCTGCTGGCGTGGCTGTGTTGTGTCTTAATGAATTCTGGGTTCATCAATTGATTCTCTCAGCACTGCTGTCTTTACATTGCATACTTTCTCCCTGTAGGACTCCCTCCGTCAGAAGGAGGAGCGCATTGAGGAGCTGGAGGAGGCGCTGAGGGAAAGCGTTCAGATCACAGCGGAGAGGGAGGTGGTGCTTGCCCAGGAGGAGCAGGCACGCACGCAGTCGGAGAAACAGGTACCGTGTCTATCAGTGGCAAATACGCATACATGTATTAGTGCATGTATGAGGAGGATCCTCACCCCAAACCAGTGTGTGACCCCAAGCTTTCCTGAAACTCAACCCCTATCAGTTACTTTTTATACACATAACGCACAAATGTTCTCGCTTCTGAGGATTTCCTTCATTTCTCTGTTTTTGTTGCGACATTTGGACAGATGCACAAGGAAACACACACAGACAAACATCTTTAGCGCAACATAGAAACTCTTTCTGACATAGCTAAACATTGCTACGCCAATAGCGGCTAATGGCAGCGGCAACACACATGCCCTGTGCCAACTGAGCTCATTCAGGTGTGGCTCTGTGTGTGCGTGTTTGCCCAGTCACTCCTCATTTGGAGGAGAGGTAAATACATCCCTATTTAAAGAACAGCTTGTATTTTGTCCGCTCCAGCCAGAGCACACAAACAGCTTTTTCTTAAATACAGCACAAGCTGACCGCTCCAATTTGTAATCTGTTTTATCTATATTGAGACAGTAGGAAAGCTCACAGTGGTGTTAAGGGAGGCTCAGAAGGGAAGGGTTTAGTGGATTCAACCTCAGACCAGTGGGAGTGCGTGTGTGTGACGCTCCCCTGGGTACCAATGACTTAACGAGGCCATAGAGATGGGAAATGTTCCTCAGAGCCTGGATGGGTTTTGACAAGTGGGAAAAAACAGCGTGGGCTGTAAGGATGAAAACTGCCCTGAGAAAACACGGCCCGCTGTAGCTGTTGGCAAAAACGTCCAGACTCCATTGTTATTACTGCCTCTAAATGTTGGACGTCCTCTCTGACCTTTACTTACCAGGCTACTTCTGGACAGACACATAAAGACAGGCATGCAAGCGCACGTTTTACTGCTGACACCCTCAGCTGTGGGTAACGTTAGTGGGTGCCACAGCAGAATAAGCTCCAGATAGATGACTGTAATAGAAGAAAGTGAGACCACGAGCAACGACAAGCAGATGGATGTCAGAAAGTGATTGACAGACGGAGGCAAACAGTTAATTATGCTCACTTAGCAAAGATAAAACAAGGCTCACAAAACAAATTTACGTTCTTTAGCTCCGTGCGCAGACCTGCAACGCTCAAACTCGCAGAACTTTATTTTAAATTCTAGTCAAGATCCAGAAGTTTCAAAGGTGTTACAGGAAAACATGTTAAAGTGATGCACACGACAGCTTGAGTTTTTCTTTTGAGGTAATGATGCAACCAAAAAGAAATAGCATTTTGGAGGTGGATATTTGACTCTGGGAATTTGATGCAGCTGAAATGATGGGTGTGAACACGCAGATACAGAGTGTGTGTATGTGGGATTGTTAGGTACATAAAAAAACACTTCTCTATAACTCGAGATGTCGTGTGGAGCATGTTAACATCCAGAGTCAGACACATTTTTTTGCATCTACATTAGCCCTAATGCCAAAAAATGTCATTTATAAAGGTAATCACACTCTAAAATCTTTTTCATTTAAGACAATATTTTATTTAATTTTCAAAATAGTGTAATACAGAAAAAACATAATGGCAGAGATACAAATGAGCAAATCGCAGAGTCCCACAAACAAACAGAAAAGAGGGGAAAGCAGCTTTTCATGTAGGCATACACATTACAGGGGCAGACACTACACAGAGAATCCAGAGCTTGAGTAAATTACACAGACCAGGGAGTACACAACTAATGCAGAGCAGGAGAGAGCTGTAGACATTCACAGGGGCACTGGAAGGATGCCAGTCTACAGTGTGATACTCCCTGCGTGCTATGTTTGCTCTGCAGTTTGGGAGGTAGTTTAGTAAAGGTGCCCACAGCTTGACGAAAACTCTTGCATTCCCCTTTAAGGCTGAGCTTGAACACAACTTTAAAAATTTCTCCACACCACTGATTAACAGTATGAGGCCAGGGCTTAGTTCATTTTAATATGTCTGTTTTATAATTAGTTTGGTCAGGTTTAGGCACAAAATAGCTTGGATAGGTTTAGAGAAACTTCATCGTTTGGGTTAAAATTACTCTTTATTTTAGGTTATGGGACTTTTGTCATCATGGTTACAATAATAATGGCATGGTTAAAGGGACAGTTCACCCCCAAATAAAAAAAAAAAAAAAACTATAATACTTCCCTCTTACCTGTAGTGCTATTTATTGATATAAATTGTTTTGGTGCGAGCTGCCGAGTGTTGGAGATATCAGCCATAGAGATATCAGGATATTGCACAGATATTTCATGTTGGAATCATTTTCTTTCTACCAACCTACACTCGCCAACTGTATCACAGCACAGAAGGAAGCGTGCATCAACTGCTAACTCACCTAGCACCGCTGAGCTAGCTAACATTACAGCTCAGCTGAGGAGGATGCCATTACTGTTAACAGCTTGCGCTGTCACTAGCATGCACTTCTCGTCTGTGAGTAGATGCACACTTCCTTAGAAAGAAATTAGTTCCTTCATGAAACTACTCACAAAATGTTCTGTGAATTATCTTGAGGTACCAGGTCATGATTTCTGGAAAGAGACATTTCTGTTGAATATAATGGAACAAGATGGTGTTTGGCTTATGGTGCTCAAATTACCTAAAAAAAAATTTTTGTAAAAAAAAACTCTATTTCCAGAAATCATGGCCTGGTAACTGAAGATAATCCACAGACCTTGTTGTGATAAGTTGTAACTATTTTCTTTCTACAGAACTACACCTGCCAACCATATTGACAGTTGACGAAGGAAGCGTGCATCTACTGCTAGCTCACTTAGCACCACTAAACTAGCTCATGTTCCAACTCAGCTCACAAGCATGAGCCTCTCATCCATGAGTAGATGCACACTTCCTTCTGTGCAGTGATACGGTTGGCAGATGTAGTTTAATGGAAAGAACTGTTTTTTTTTTTTATTATCTTGAGGTACAAGGTCATGATTTCTGGAAAGAGACATTACTGTTGAGTTTTTCTGGAGCAAGCTGAGTGCCATGTAGTTCCATTATATTGGAGAGAAGGCAGACATCTCTACGACCAAAAAACAATCTAAACTGATAAACAGCACAACAGGTAAGAGGAAAAATAGGTTTGATTTTGGGATGAAATGTCTCTTAAAGGTTAGAGAACGACTGGGGAAGGAGTATGAATCAGGACACAGACTTGGTCTTCCATATTTAAGTTATAGGTTTTGTTGACACATGCATCCTACCTAATCTCCTCCCTTTGCGGAATTTGTAGCTCTATAATAACATCACCTGACTTCCTTCTAATGATGGACAAAAGTTTGTGACTTGAATATAAACGTGTCATTTTGACCCATTTTCTGAAATTATGTCATTCTGCTTCGGAGGAACGTCTCATATAGCCGGTTTCAACCGCAGTGACTTTCCTGGAGGCCCAGGAACCATGTCAGGAACCTAACCTGCATTTAGGCTGGAGAAGCAAGGGTCTAAATTTAGTTCCTCGGCCATAGCTTCTGGTGCCAAGAAATTCCCCACTCAGGGGGTAGAACTTTCTGATGGCCCAGGAACTCTCAGAGCGGACCTTGCAGAGTTGATCGGTCAAACACAAACCTTGCTTCATTATCGTTATGCAGCCTACAAAAGCAGAAATTAATACCATGAAACAGTCAGAAGATTGGATTGGAGACAAACACTCCAGAGTTTACAGTCTCCTTTTCCACCTCTACAAGTTGTCTTTGTATAATTTCATTTCATCCACTGTAACGACAAAGAAAAACATGGGTCTTTTCACTCTAGTTTGTCGAAATCTTATGTTAGATCTGGTGGCAACGCAAACAAAAATACTCCAAAGAGACTTTTAGTTCCTAGATTAGTTCCTGAGTTTATTTCCTGTGGTTCTACAGTTCAAATCAGTTCATAAAGTAGTTACCCTACAGTTCCTCAAAACAAAGACACAGATGCAGAGAAGATTTGGGTCCTCTATCAGAGCAAATAGATGTAAGGCTTTGGGTTTTCACAATAGCAAAGATTGGAACAAGTAAAGCAAAGATGGAAAAATCACATCCAACATGTTTATCCTCTTTCAAGTTGACTGTGGCTTAATTTGTTTACAGCAACTGTGCCAAGCTCTCACATTTAATTTGGCAGCGACGTATTGACATACTTCAAAACGCTACAAGTGGCAGCTTTAATTAGACAGCGCCGAGGCCATTTAGGCCAGGACAGGCTGCTGGAGAGCGTCCTCGTGTTAAAATGCTTCAGTGAAGGAGGAAGGAGTAGAAACGTCAGCGGTGCGGTGAACGAGTGGACATGGCAGCCAAACACTCAGTGCAGTCCTCACCCAACATCAACAACACTAACTCAGCCTTTCAGCGCATACACACATGCACACGTGTGCATGTGGCACTCGCGGACAGGATAGTAATACACAAGACGCCCTTCCACATACATACACATATTCCTCCCAACACACACACACACACACACACACACACACACACACACACAAACATGGCGGAAAGAAGTGCTAACTGCTATTTAAACAGCACACCAGTGCAGCACAACATAGCATTCAGCAGGAGCCAGATGGACGCGCCGTTGGTTTTCTAACTGGAAACGTGTCTCTATATACACGAGTAAATTGTAAATAAATATTTTTGTGTTCCCGTTTTTACAGCTGCGTCACTGCAATTAGCCTTTCACATAATGATTTATAAAATGATGACAGAGAGGGAGACAATTTCCTCCCTTAATGAGGACGGCCTGTTCAAAGGCGTACACATTGCTTATTATAGCGCTGGCACACACGCACATGCAAATGTGGCCAAACCAGGCACATTTAGACACACACATGGACTGCAAATTGGTACACATACACACACACCTTTAGTGTGCCGCCGTATATTGACAACCTGTGTGTGTGTGTGTGTGTGTGTGTGGGTGTGTGTGTGTGTGTGAGAAAGGGACTGTCCCATGGATAGGGTTTGCCCGGCAAAATCGGTTGACCAAGACCACATGAAAATATACTAAAGCTTTTCTGCTAGACATGAGTCACTTCTGTGTGTGATCACTGTAGAAAGGTGTGTGTGTGTGCGCGTGTGTGTGTGTGTGCGCGCGCGTGTGTGTGTGTGTGTGTGTGTGTGTGTGTGTGTGTGTGTGTGTGTGAGAGAGGCAGAGAAATGAGTCAACAGTATGACACACTCCATCTGTCTCTTCAGAGACCAAACTAAAGACAGGCGTCCTCTTCTCCAGCTTTCCGTCTTTCATTAAGCAGACAGTTCTGATTCTTGAACTCGTTGCACCTTCTTCTGTCTTTCTTCCTCTTAAAATAAAGTTGAAATCGCTCTCACGCACAAAAACACACATTCAGAGGACTGAAGGGGTTGCTCTCCTCCTCCTCCCTCCTCCAGCTCCTTCTTATCCAGCCGGGCCTTGTCACTCCTCACCCCTCACCCCTCCCTGCATCCCTCCATCCTTCAATCTCTACATCTCTGATGTCGGCCAAAGGCCTTTCTCTCCTCCTTTCCCCTCTTTCTTCTTTGCTCTGTCCATGTACAGTCATTTGTCCCCTTCTTCACCCGCTCCTCTCCTTTCCCTCCTCTCCTTCATCTCCTCTCCTCTTCCCTCCTTCCTCTCTTTTCCTCTTCTCCTTCATCTCATCTCCTCTTGTTGCCTCTCCTCCCCTCTTCTTCTCTCTCCTTCCCTCCACTCCTCTCCTCCCCCTTTTCTCCTCTCCTTCGTCTCTCCTCTTCTTGTCTCTCCTTTCCACTCTCCTCTTTGTCTCTCCTCTCCTTCCCTCCTCTCCTCCCATTTTTCCCTTCTCCTTCATCTCATCTCCTCTTGTTGCCTCTCCTCCTCTCTTCTCTCTCCTTCCCTCCTCTCCTTTCCCTCTTCTCCTTCATCTCCTCTCCTCCCCTCTTCCTTGTCTTCTCCATCTTGTCTCCTCTTGTTGCCTCTCCTATTCTACTCTCCTCTTCTTCTATCTCCTTCCTTCCTCACCTTTCCTCTTGTTGCCTCTCCTTTTCTTTTCTCTCTTCCCCACCGCTCCTCTTTTCCTCTCCTCTCCCCTCCTCCCCTTTTTCTCCTTTCCTTCGTCTCGTTTCCTCTTTTTGCCTCTCCTCTCCTTCTCTTCTCTCTCCTCCTCACCTCTCCCCTTTCTTCTCTTCTTCTCTCCCCTTCTCTCCGTTTCTTTTCCTCTTCTTTCCCTCCCCTCCTCCTCCCCCCTCCTCCTCTCCTGCCTGCATTGCATTGCATTTCTAATGCAGCCTGTGTATCTGACTGCTCAGTATTTTTGCGCTCCGTCTGCACTTTCTTTTATCTGCGTGTCTCTCTGTCTCTTTTATGTGCTGCGCATTTGTTTCTGTTGCTTTCTGTATTTCATCTTTTGCTGCACACTTTATCTTTTCACTTGAGCACTTTTACGACTTTTCTCTTTCTCCTCTCCTTTTTTCTGCTTCTCCTTCCTGCATGTTTGGTGTTTAATTATACCTCCCCCTCCTCTTACTCCTCTTAATCACCTTTGTTTATCCTCTATTACACCTCTATCCTACATGCTGTCGGTTCTTCCCTTTGTCTTTTCTTTAAGTCGTCCACCTTTACTCTTTCCCATTCACTTTCCTTCTCTGTTATATTTCTGTCTTGCCCCCATTTTGTATCCCTTTATCCTCGTCCCTCACCGTCACCATCCCTCTCCCCTCTCTCGGTTTTCTCTTCCTCTCTGCTCTCTTTGTACGCAGCTCTCTAACATTCCAATGCATGAGTTCACCACAGCCAGCTTTAGATGGTCAAAGGTAACAAAACAATCATCACAAACCTCACTCACCAGTGTTTTACTGTACATCTCATTCATTCATTAATTCATGCTTACCTTTCAGCTGTCTCTTCATTCCACTCTGTCACATTTTTCACATTTTTTCTCTGTGACATGTTACTTGTTTGCCAGTAAACTGGTACAAGCAATTGTGGAAACTGCACAAAATTTCTTTATCTGAATCAGACTGTTTTGTTCACTCATTCATTCATTAATGCCGGTGCTATAGTAAACCTCCTGTACCCAGTAAACAGAAGAGACTAGTACCAGTGATAACTTTGAAAAAATATTACTGTTATTTGTCTCTATTCCTCTCATTCTCATTTTCCATCTCATCAGCCCTGTTCCTTTTTCTTAAAACAGTGAAAATCCAATTGGAAATGTGTAACGGTTTTTGTTGAGATAGAAACAAAGAAAGACTCTGATAACTTTCACCACTGTGTAGGATCTTAAAAAACTCATGGAGATAGAAGAAATCAGTCTAGATGAAGGCTAGATGCTTATAGTGGTGGAACAAAGCCAAAAGATCACATGGAATTTCACAGGTTAACAACCTGAAGATTATTGGTGATGGAGGAAGTGTTGGGTTGCCCAATATTAAAGTAACAGCTCACCCTAAAATCAAAAATACATACTGCTTTCCTGTTACCTTTGGTGCCATTTATCTATTGTTTTGGTATGAACTGCAGAGTTTTGGAGATAGAGATGTCTGCCTTCTTGTGAATGTAATGGAACAAGTTTTTACAAATACATTTGTGAAAATTATTTTTTTCGTGTGCGTTGTGGTGAGCCACGTGAGAGTGGACTCAAACGCACAACTCTAGAGACAATTCAGGTAAAATAACAGTCTTTACTGGTCTAAAGGTAGTTTTGATACACAGAAGGTCTTTCAGTGGAGGCAAACAAAATCCAGGGATGAGGCAGAGTCAATCAACAGGCTAAATCCAAAAAAACAGGAGACAAAAGGCTGGTACGCTATGAGACACACAAGGAGCTAAGACAAACTGGCACTGAGAGAAAACAAGACACACACTAAACACTCTGGTGAGGGGAAGGATAACGAGACACAGGTGAGGCTAATCAGGGTGGGACAGACAATCAGACACAGGTGAAGTCATCAAAAGGGAGGGAAAACACAGGGACAGGAAGTGAAGTGATCTGAAACGAGAGGAGATGTGAGTTTCAAAGTAAAATAGGAAACAAGAATGAAATTAAAAAAAACATGACCTAAGAGACTTAGGTCATGTGATAGCTCGCCTAGCACCACTGACCTAGCTCACGTTACAGCTCAGCCGAGGAGATGTTACAACCCAGCTCTTAGGCTGTGACAAGGATGGGAGACAAGACGAGTTTACAAAGAGTTAAAAGCACCAACCAACCACACTGGCCCAGGTGTGGCTCATGATGTCAACAACGGCCCTCTGCCTTAACCCGCATCCTGTAACAAAAGAGAACAGCTAGGAAATGAGGCACACCAAGTGGAGTGGAGGGGTTATCACACCACTTTTAACATAATTTCAGCACAGCCTTCTCATCCATGAGCAGATGCATGCTTCCTTCTGTGTGGTGATTCGGTTGGTGTCTTTCTGTAACTGCTCACAACAAGGTCTGTGGATTATCTTGAGTGGTTGGGTCGTGATTTCTGGAAAGAGACATTGCTGTTGAGTTTTTCAGATGTTTTTTTTTTTTTTTTTTTGGCACTTTGAGCACTACAAGCCAAGTGCCATCTAGTTCCATTATACTGGAAAGTAGGCAGACATATCTACATCTGACATCTCCAACACTCAGCAACTCACACCAAAATAATCTGCATGATAATAAGCTCTACAGGAAAGAGGTTAAATATGTATTTTTGAGTTTAATATTATGTTTTTAATATAATATTATATGTATTTTTGATTTAAGGGTGAATTGTCCCTTTAAGTCTGAAAGTGTGTATGGTGGCAAAACATGAGAGAAAGATCTTTCTGGAAGTTTCTTTAGTCCTGAGTTTTTTCTCAGATCACAAGACTGTTATTTTGTCTTGGTCCCCACTTCTGTCTGAAAAGCAGCTTCTTTCAGATTCAGAGTTTTTACTTTTTTATTTCTGCTGATGCAGTCTATTTTTTGGAGGAAGAAAGTGCTTTTATGACTCTTTCTTTTTCAGTCTGAATCCTTTTTCTGAATGTCTTTTGTCTGATTTTCTTTCTCTCCTTTCTTTCTACTTCAACACTTCAGAGGAACAGGGAGCTGGAAAAGAGAGAGAAAATGTATCCAAAGCGAGAATGTGTGTGTGTGTGTGTGTGTGTGTGTGTGTGCGCGCGTGTGTGTGTGCGCGTGGTGACAGGCCAGGTCGTCGTCACACTGTGAGAAATACAGTGACCTCGACACTCTGACCCAACAGACATTAAACTGACAAACTGATATACACCCAGAGACAGAGGCAGATAAAATATATATCAGAGAAGAGAAACAACATAAAGGGGAAAAAGAAAACACGGAGAAGAAAAATGACACGTTTGATGTTCTGCAATTGAGCATCTCATGTAAAAACAGAGAAATTTCAAAAGCGCAGTAGCTGTCAGATGCACACACACACACACACACACACACACACACACACAGATGGAGAGGCAGACACAACACATAAACATGAATATATGTGGAAAGCAATCGCAAGTAAAAAAAAAGTTGAAGGAAAATATGAACTAAAGATATATTTAGACAGAAAAGTTGGGAAAAGCATGATGTTTAAGATGTCTGAAAATGTGTGTGTGTGTGTGTGTGTGTGTGTCAGGTGGAGGACCTGCTGGTTGCCATGGAGAAGGTGAAACAGGAACTGGAGGTGATGAAAGCCAAGCTGTCATCGACTCAACTCTCACTGGCCGAGAAGGAAGGTCACCTGACCGCACTGCGGGCCGAGAGGCGGAAACACCTGGAGGAGGTCCTGGAGATGAAGTGAGGATACAGACATACACACACACGTTTTATTGCTTTTATTTATGTTAACATGTAAAACAGCTGAACGTCAACACTGACGGGCGCAAACTCTGTCGAACACTTGTGTCATTTGTCATGTTTCCAAAGACACAAACACACCACTGACAAACACACTGTAAAAAAATGTCTGTCCACCTACATATTCATCTGCTCTTAAATCCGTCTCTCCCTTTTCTGTCCTTTCATGCTGATTTACAAACACTCATGGTTTGCTCACACCAAACGTGAAGTGAATTTCCACCTTGCGTTGCCTCTCTGAACACCACTGCTGGAGTGATTTTGGAGTATTGTGCTGGCTAATATTCGCCCATAGCAGCTGTGCTAACGGTTGTGCTAACTAACTGGGAAAGGAAGCTAACGGCTAACTCAGTTTGTAGTTAAGTACAACCGATAGCCTGAATCAAGTGAAGTCTGCATGGTAAATCTGGAGGCTTCATTCTCTTAACCAGTATGAACCAAGACAACAAAACTTGTTTACCTTCCACAATAAATGACTAATTTCTGACAGCTTTTTGCTAAGAAGCAACAGAACAAAATAGCCTACGAAAGTCACAAATACATATTTCAATCAGGAGAGACATTAGAATGAAGTAAAGATCATATATAATACAGAATATGAGTGTGCAGATGAACAGATGATTTGTGATTTGCTTGGACACCAGAGGAGATATTTTGTGTTTGAGGGACATCTGAGTGGCAGCAGGATAAATCCCCCCATGGAGTCTAGACAATGGTGGAGGTGGTGGCTGATGACTCTGAGGCTGCTGACCACTGAGGTAGATAAGGCTGATGAATCTGTAAAGTCTAGGTAGTCATGGGGAGGTGGAGGGCGCACACAAAGGCAGCAAGAAAGAACTACGGCTGAGAAAGAACCATCTTTAAATTGAGGAGCAGTAAGACGATAGGCTGACAGAGAAGGTGTGTCGCTGTGCTATTGGTTGATTGTGAATCAGCTGATGACTCAGTTGACAGACCCAGGCAATGACACCTAGAAATAGTGAGTGAGCATTTGTGCAAGGAGTGAATGGCGGGGTGAGAAAGAAACTTACAGCCTGAGCATGAAAAGTATTGTCTTCCTGACTGAATGTTTGCTAGAGCTTCATTTTATTACCCACCATGTAGTTCTTGAACCTGTTGTTCACAAGTGAGGGTAAAACAGAGCATGAGATAGACAGGTGGTTTGGCGCAGCTTCAGCAGTGATGTGGGCACTTTGCTGGCCTGTTGTGGTGAAGGGAAAGCTTTCGTTTTACTGGTCTATCTATGTTCTGACCCTCACCTATGGTCATGAGCTTTGGGAAGTGACCTAAGAATGAGATTGCAGAGTGGCTGAGATGAGGGGTCAAAAGGGGTCGGTTGAGGTAGTTCGGGCATGTGATCATGATGCCTCCTGGGCACCAGGAGAGGTTTTCCAGGCATGTCAAACTGGTAGCAGACCCAGAAAAAGCTGGAGGGATTATATATATCTCATCTGGCCTGGGAACGCCTTGGGATCTGCTTGGAAGAGGGACGTTTGGACTTGGCTTTGCCTGCTGCTCCCACAACCTAACCCTGGGTAAGTGGTTGAAAATGAATCGATGAATAGACGGATATCATACAGTTGAGAACAGGATTTTGACCTGATGATGGTGCTACAGAAGAGCACAAGGAGTCATCACAGTTCATCCTGTGGGGAACACGAAAGTGTACGAAAGTTAATAGGACTCCATCCAACATTTGTTGTATTATCCGACTAAGTAATAAAAAATGTCAACTTCATGGTGACACAATAGGAAAAGTCAAGTTATCGGCAAAGTCAGTCGGCTTTATCCAGAGGGCACGATGAATGTCTGTTCAAAGTTTCATGTCAGTTCATCTAGTACATGTTGGAATATTTCAGTCTTGACTAAGGGACTGAAATTGCTTTAGAGCCACGCTGGTTTCATGCCTAAAAATGAAGTATGACACTTCTTAGCAACTTCTATATTTTCATTTCTGCCTTGTTTCAACACGACTTACTGTACTTACCTCTATGTGCACCGGTCAACATTAAGTCTCCAACCAAAACTCCGATTTGACCTTCAACACTTCCCCTGAAATAAACAACCCTTATGATATCTCCAGTAGTTTCCCATGTTGCCTCAGTGTTCCAGGACGGTGGCCACTGGTCACACTGACATGATCTTCACCCGTCACTTCATCAACCCTCTCTTTCCTCTTCCTGTCTGTACCTCTCTGTCCTTTCTACTTTTATCTCCCCCCTCTTTCACTCAGCACTTTAAAGCCATAGAAGTAAGTAGTGTGTTAATGCAATAACCATGTACCGCTGTCTCGCTCTTCATATGATTGATTACATACACAGACGCCCGCACACACTCATGCACACGCTGTAACTCAGTGTAAATTTTAATGTAATTTTAATAGATGGGTTTGCGTTTTAAGTGCAGTTCAGAGGAGTCCAGCACTCCGACGAGTCCCTGTATTTTCTGCTGTTTTACATCCTCACTGAGACCTTACAATGAGGTCTAATTTAGTGGAACGACGCTTTGGGCTGAAATAGAAGCCAAGGAGAATGTCCGTGTTAGCATGTCCTGCCTGTTTATACACGCTGTGGGACTATCTTTTACTGTGGCATGATGGGAAAATGAGGGCATGTGCTGTGATTAAGTTTTCCTGTACTTCGTTCTCAGTGTTTTCTACCAACGTAGCATTTCTTTGTTTTGGAGGGAGAGACTCTGTGTGTGTGTGTGTGTGTGTGTGTGTGTGTGTGTGTCCAGCAGCATGTCCATTCACAGGCCAGGTGAGCAAGTTATTGGCCATTTTATCGCAGCAGTAACGACCCGTGTGATTATTACAAGGATCAGCGCTTCAGAATGCGTGGCCTTGTTTTCGTGCTTGAATTTGCATGTGTTGGTGTGCACGCTGTGATTGATTTATTAAACTGTGACATGTCCAAAGTTCCTTTTGAGAAAATACAGGTGCCATGATTAATATTTATGCAGCAGGCGCACACATGAGTGGCCACGCACATGTGCACGGGGAAGGGGATCGAGGACTGAATCGGAATCGTATGCCAATGGGTTTATCAATTCCTTTTATATAGTTTTTAGGGTGTCCCTCCTTCTTTCTTGTACATACACATGAAAACACGGACCACACAAACGCACACAGACCACCCTACTCACATGCATGATCAGATTTAACAGACTCTGGTGGGCAGCTCAATCTCAGCCATCATTTAACTTCATGTGTATAAATCCAGTGTGGTTAACCCAACTCTGAAGTGTGGTGTGACTGTGTGTTTCCATACACTGACCATACCTACTGTCCAGAGACCAAATATTTACTCTGCTGATCGTCTCTGGTGCGTCTGTAGATACAGGACTGCACTTTATATCTCCCATCATGACACAAATATCAGTGACTTATGCATTCAGTAGGGGACTGCATATCAGTTATTTAACCGTTGAAGTTGTGTAGTTATAGGTGCGTATCTTCAGGGATGTTAAAACCTCAGTTACACTTCTGTTGCGGTTTTTTTTTGTGCTCAGTTTTGTATTTTTATGTAGCCAAAGGCAAATTTCTAAGGGTGAAACTTGTGTTTTGAATATCATTTAAATACTGTCTGTGATGTGTCCGTGTTTCTGTTCTGGCGCTCTGCACTGATCTGACACCTGCCCACCAGCCTGCTCTTATCCCCGGCTCTCTGAAGCTCGGTGTGCCACTGTTTCCTGGTAAAGGTGGCAGGGCGGCACGGAGGTCCCCTGGGACTGCCAGGAGACTATAACTGTATTTTTAAGGTTCATAAAATATACCTGAATTCACAAATATTTAGAATATTACTACACAATTCAAGTAAGGCATGTTTTTCCCCTGATAATGCTACATCGTGAAAATGTGATTGTGCCACTGATTACTGATACTGATACTGTATTGACTCATGTTGATGATGACCTGACGATGTTTAACGGTTCACGTGGCGTATTGGAAAAAAAATATTTTCACTGGTGGTTGCCATTTTCTTACAGCATACATCATATATCATACTCAAGAGAAGAGAATATGCATATTTATGCATATTTATCAAAATGTTGAACTCTTAAATTTTTGTATATTGACATGTTTATGAATTATTCATAGAAATTCTATTTTTATGGGATTATCACAGAATGTTACAATCATATATCACATTTGATTCAGGCTAGTTGATACAGGGTAGATGATGTTGGTGCTCTCTAAACTCATCTTGAGATGAAACATTTGTATAATGTTTTGTATACAGACTGTATATAAAGTCTACCCTTTTAGGGCCAACATCACAATGATGTCATTTTATAAAATGACATGGCTAATAATTATTAGCTGGAGGCAAAACACAACAGCACACCACAGGGCTATAGGCTACACAGGAGTCTTAGGGCCGTTTCATAGTCGACGCAAAGGCACGCAGACGCGAACGCATTGGGAAGCATCGAGATGCATTGGCCGCCATGAAACATGCCTGAGTCTCAAAATTAGACTTGCACTGATTATAATTTTTTGGGCCGATACCGATTTCATTTTTTTTCAAACCACTTTACAGCACACAAGATATTGCAGCATTTTCTGTCTTTCCTTTATTAGAACATTTTAATAAGGAAAAAAACTCAATTTTCAAATTCACACAGGGCATTACGTCTACAAAATGCAGTGTTACGGACATTCTTATTTTAACAATGAGAAAAAAGGTGCACAGGCTGCCATAGAACATTCATATTTGGTGCACATTCCCCAAGGGATTAATAAAGTACCTACCTACCTACATTTGTACAGGCTGCCGCTCCCGCGAGAACGCTCCCGTCAGTAAGCGCGCAGACGCGGACACCTGCATCTTCGGCACGCGGACACGTGCCTCATCAGTTTCAAGCGGCACCATGCGGCAGCGAGAGCTCTGCTCCATTAAGTTTAACACAGACAATTAACAACTTTCTCCTTCTCTCTTTTGATGTGTGTGCATGAATGATTAAGGTGAGAAGCCGCCCATGTTTACAGATTGTATATGCATATTTGCATATTT